TACTTGAGGGAAAAGCCATGTCTAAAAAGCCAGTGCTTTTTAGAAAGCTAGAGAGTAGAGGCCTTCCAAACTTCAGGAGGCAGTGTTCCATAGGGCAGGGGCTCCCACCAAAAGGGCCCACTTGCCCTCAGAAGTTGTGGGAGTGCCATCATTTGAGACCCTCAAGAAGAGATTGGACTGCCATTTGTCAGAAATGGTGTAGGATCTCCCACTTGGGTGGGTGCGGGGTTGGACTAGATGACCTATAAGGTCCCTTCCAATTCTGATTATCTGTTATCTCTTATCTGTTATCACTTCCCAGCTCTCATAAAGATGGCAATGTTTCAGGGAAGGGATGAAAATCATGCCCAGTGCCCACCCTATCTAACCTGATAAAATAGATGCCTTCAGTGAAAGGCAGTCCCACAAATAATCTGGCCTTGTGCCATATTGGGATTTAAAGGTAATAGCCAGCTTCTTGAATTGCACCTGGAAGGAAGGAAACTGGGAAGCCAGTGCACTTCTCACAACAGAGATGTTACATGGCTAAACCTAGGGGCATTTGTCACTGTACACGCCTCCACATTCTGGACTAGTTGAAGCTTCTGAGTGGTCTTTAAGGGTAGCTGCATGCAGAACACATTGCAGAAATCAAACAGGAGATGACCAAGACATGACTGACGGTCAGCAGGGTTCAGGAAAGGTCAACATTGGTGCACCCAAAAAATCGGTGCAAAGGCCTCCCTAGTCACAGTTGCCACCTGTTCCTGGAACAAAAGCCATGAGTCCAGGACTCCCAAATTGTGCATTGGCTCAATCTAGGGAAGTTCCACCCCATCCAAAGATAGAATATCACTTAGGTCTGGGGAGTGGGGAACAAAAATCCAGAGCCATTCTGTCTTGCCAGGGTTGGGTCCAAGCTGGTGGTTCCCCACGCAGACCCTTACAGCCTCCAGGCATCTGGCCAGCACCCAATTTCACTGCCTGGCTAGGGGTAGAGATAGTTGGGCATCATTAGCATATTGATCATACCATACTGACAGGTGACCTCCCCTAGTTGTCTCAGGTAGATGTTAAAAAGAAGCAAAAGGCTCCTATTAACACCAACTGGAATCAGCTGCAGAGGAAGGAGAAGAACTACTATAACATAGTGCCTCCCAACCCCCAAAGCTGGTTCAGAAGGAGACCATGGTTGATGGTACTGAAAGCCACGGAGAAATCCAGGAGGGTCAGAATGGTTGCACCACCCCATCCTGATCCCTTCAAAGGTCATTAACAAGTGTGACTTAAGGCCGTTTCAGTGCTGTGCCCTGACCTAACCCAGACTGAAATGAATTCAGATAATCTGTTTCATCTGCGATTCTTGGTAGCCTTGTGCTAACCATCTTCTCAACAATCTTTCTTGGAAAGGGAAAATTGGAAAATGGAAGAATGTTTTCTAATACTGTGAAGTTCAAGAATGGCTTTTAAAGAAGGGGTTACACTAATGTCCTTCAGGGCAGTGGTATCACCCCCTTCAACAAATAGGCATTATTCACTGCTTGGGAATACAATTGGGGTATTCCCATACTCCTTACTGGGAGTACAATGAAAATAAATTGCTATACCATACAAATAATTTTCTTAGAATAAAATATGAAATTGATAATACAATGCAAAAAGTCTAATACTTCAACTGAGATGGATGAGCAGTATTTGAACACTGTAAGGGTGAAGTGATATTCATTCTTATTTCCTGTGACTCTTTTAAAAATGGCTGTGCCCAAAATTAGAAGTAAAGTATTTTTCTTTGCAAAGATTTGTAAGAATTTATATATATATAAATATATTATATATATAAAACACACACACACACACACACACACACACACACGAATGAAAGTGGAACTCAGGCTCCCTCTCATGATAGAAAATAGAACTGAAATTTCAGTATCTTTTAGAAACCATCTAGAGAAAATGTTTGATTCATTTCTATGCAACAGTGTATATAGCAAATTATAAAATCCAATCTTCTCAGCCAACACAATTACTTATAAATTTGTACCAATTTCAATAGTAATTCTGTTTTCACTGAAACAGGAAATTCATTACAGAAACAACAGTGAAAAAAGGGACAGGAACAAAAGGATGTAATTTTAAATAATTTCATGAACTAGCACAGTGTTGGCTAAACTTTTTGGGCTCCTGTGCAAAAAATTGCACTCGTGTTTGCGTGCCAGCACCTAGAAGGCAATGCGCGCTGTCCTCCCAAGCCTACTGCACATGTGCGCACGATCCCTCCCACCGTCTCCTTACCTGCACTATGCATGTGTGTACCTCCCAGCTGATTTTTAGGCCTGCTTGAGGCCTTTTTCAGCCTCCCAGAGGCTCAAGGAAAGCCTCTGCAGCCTTTGGAGGGCGAAAAATGGGCCCATTTCGTCACTTCCGGTAGTTCCGGAAATACAGGAAGTGATGAAACGGGCCTGTTTTTCGACCTCCAAAGGCTGCAGAGGCTTCCCTCAGGCCTCTGGGAGGCCAAAAAATCAGCTGGGAGGCACACGCATGTGCAGTGAAGTAGGTTTGGCTAGGGCTTGTGTGCCCGCACAAATGGCTCTGCATGCCACCTGTGGCACGCGTACCATAGGTTTGCCATCACGGAGCTAGCATGATTACTCTTAGTTAACAGCTCCAGCCATGGTGTTGCTCAACATTTAGCTTAATAAAACAATTCCTGGAAGGCAAATTTAATGACCAAGTGATATGGGTCACTGAGCCCTCATAAGATTTTTACTGCTTCCTCTTACTTGCTTGCTTGATTTTTTTACTGTCTTTATTATTTTTATACCAAATACCTTCTTCAAATTTTCCCCACAACAGTCCTATGAAGTGTGTTGGGCTGAGAGAGAGTGGCCCAATGTCACCCAGTCAACTAGAACTCAGTCACCTGCTTGCTATAGAATGTTAATATTACCTTTTTCAGATTGGTTATTGTATTTATCTGAAAAATCCAGATATTTTCTATATATTGAAGTATATGGGGCATGGTATGATGGGCTATTTTAATAATTCTACCTTTGTATATATTTTAGGACATAGTCTGTTTTGTCCAGTCCTGGACCTTTTTGAATTCTGTATCTAATATATGTTCCCTACTCCTGACTATGTATTAATAACAGAGTTGGAAGACTTAGACTACAACATCCCCTATAGATTGCCTTATAGAAATTATCAACCAAGCCTGCTAATGCCATCTCAATATCCAAATAAACAATTGAACTCCCCTCTCCAAATTATATATTCAAAGAGAGAAGCTGAAAACAAAGAGGGAAGCTGAGGACAAAAAAGAGGAAGAACACATAATGATGATGGTGCTCCCTTTACAAAGAAGTTAAAAGTAAGGAAGTAAAACTAACAGCTACTATTCCCCCATGTGAACTTCTGCTTTTTTGGAAAAAAAAAATCTTTTGAAGAATGACTGCTTTCTTGGGATCTCATGCAAAGAGGCAATAGCTGCAGATAAAATATCACATGCTTTGCATAAGTAGACTTTTAACAGAAAGAAGCATGGAGAATTTCAGTGTTCCTCTGTTGAAAAGAAGCAATGGAACTGTTTAAGCCTTAAAGCTATGTGCTTTGAACATTTTTTTTTTACAACCAAGTGAGCCCACAAATACAGAACATAAGCCATTGCACATACTGTGTCTATTATGAAACAGCCCTTGTGCAGCCTAAAGTTCCCTGAATCTGCTATACAGAAATTAATTATTGTGTGGGTGTAAGTTATACAGTATAATTTTTGAAGATTAAATTTAAATTAGCACTTCAGTAAAGAGAACATGTCTTCTACTTTAAATCTGCTCCCACAAGATACTTATATGCAAATTGCATAGTTATAGCAGTAAGAAAGCTGCAATCACAGATGTGAAGCAGCATCACGATTTTTTTTTTCTCTTTCTTTCGTGTAGTCACAGATGACTTGAAGGCACATAATCCATCAAAAGAACCCTAGACATCTACACCGCAAATCAATTTTCTCTCAGATTGCCGGTCCAAGTGCATCACCAGCATTGGCCTTTTATGACGCCTCTTTTCAAAACTGTCAGTTTGCCTGAAGAAGCGTCTGACCCAATTCCAAACGCGCTTCCCTCAAATTCCACAGGACTCGGATTTCTTGGAAGGTTCCATTTTCCTGGTTTCCATTTTCCGCATGCCCGAGAGGTTGCCATGCCGTGTGTTTTCACGCTGCAGCAAAATGTAATGGGATCTGCAGCCCTATACATATTTACCTGAGAGAAAGCCTAACTGAACCCGGATCCCCTGAACAATCAGAATATCACCTGAATAATCAGGTAAAATACAAGCGCGGCCACACAGAATTAACCGTGTTGGCCATGCTTGTATTTCCCTACCTGATTACTGAATTAGTTTTCTGACGTAGTGGCTTTCCGATCAGGAAGGCGATCTGAAAACCTTTCTACATGGGATCTCAATGCGATTTGCAAGTAGGATCGCGAAGGGCGGATCCTAATTTAGATTTTTTTTTTCCTGAGGAGGGGTGCTGCTGGGTGGAAGAAAAGAGCAGATATATTTCCGCGAATGCTCGCATCGAACCTCGCGGGATTCACTGACTCATCTTGCAAGGAAGGATGGGGTGATTATGTTACGGCGGGATTGATGCTCACTCTCCCCCCCTCTCCCCTGTCAATGGGAAGACATTCTCCCGCCTTGGCAAAAGACAAAAAAAAAAAAAATCAGAAAGAGATGAATCGAAGTCCGCAGCATTCAAGCCCCAACCAGGTAAGGAAGCCAGCTGCTGCCACAGGAGCGCTCATCTCCAATCAGAACTCGCGATCTATCAAAGAGGCGGGGCTATCCCTACTCTACGCCAATGGCTGCATCCAAACGGGGTAACGGACGGGTGGCTTGGCCGCCCTCCTAACTCGCCACACGGTCGGAAGGCGGAGCTTTCTTCGGCGCTTTGGGGAGGGGGTGGGAACGTCATTCGTTTTTTTTTCCCGTGATCCAACGCTGTGAAAGGCGGTAGCACTGCTGCAGTAGCGCCGCCGCTGCCGCTGCTACCGAAGACGACTCCATCCGGGTCCTGGATGGTGCTGTAGAGACGGGAATCGCAGGTAACGGTCGTGTGATCGCGAGCAAGGGAGGGGAGACGCGGGATCAGCGAAAGAAGACGCTGGCCTGTTCGCACGGGAAGCGTGCTTGTTTCGCCTGCGCGGGAGAACGGCTTTAGGCCTCCAGGCGATCTTTCTGCTACTTCTGAGGCGATGGACGGCAGGGAGAAAAAGGGCGAAGTTTCCCCGCTCCCTCGCGCCCTTTCTTCCTGCCCGCTTTAGCCCTGCATCCTTTCTTCCCCTTCGCCCCCCCCCTTCCCTCTCCTTGCCGCGCCTTCCCTGACAAACCTGAAGGTCCGAGAAGCGCCGCCCACTCGGCGGCGACCGATTGGCCGCTGGGCCCTGGTCCTTCTCGCGATTGGCCGGAGATCCCTCTCCTAGGTCGGCGCGTCACTTCCCGTAGCAAGTTCGAGACGGGCAAGGGAGACCTTGGCTGCCGGGGAGGGATGAGGAAAGGGGGTGGGGCGCGAGATGATGCTGCGGCGGGGACTCCCAAGCACGATGGGCAAGCTCCGCCCCGTCTCTCGAGACGCCCCGCTTCCCGCCTATTGCCGGCCGACCGCTGTCGTAGCTTCTTTCTCGCCGCGCGCCTTCGAGCTCCCCCCCCCCCCACTGGCCCGGGCTTCGGACCACGAGGGCCCCGGGCGGGCAGGGGGGAATGGGGGCGGGCGCGCGACAGAGAATTTTTTTTTTTTTTTTGAGGGGCGGGGAGGCCTGTTGCTGGAAGGCGGGAGCTCCCGATGGCCCGAAGCCTCTCGGGCCGGAGCAGAGCCAAAAGAAAAAAGAAAGAAAGAAAGGAGGTGGGGGCTGCTTCTTGGCAAGCGGCTTTGCTACCACGAGGCGCGCCGCCTCTCCTCCTTCCCGCGCGGTCTTTTCCTTCTGATCGGAGAATACAGTAAATCCTGCCCGCTCCTTTCCTTAGAGGGAGACTTGCTCTTTCTTTCTTTCTTTCTTTCTTTCTTTCTTTCTTTCTTTCTTTCTTTCTTTCTTTCTTTCTTTCTTTCTTTCTTTCTTTCTTTCTTTTGAGAAACAGCTGGAGTATCGGGATCTCCCAAGGGATCTGGCACTCAAATCTTTGGCGCCTCTTTAGCTGATTTGTACATTACAACCCGTCTCGGCTAGGAAAACTTTTAAGTGGTTTGAATTTGAAGCAGTGTGGTAACTTCGTCAGAGACAGGGAGAGGTGCCCTCCCCCCCCTCCACTTTTTGTGGCTCTCCCCATTTAAGCTATCCGCTATTTTAATCGGCGATCGTGTTGGGACTCGTTGGAGGTGCGAAAGCCAGAATGGATTTTGAGTGTCGAGTTCCCCCCCCCCCCTTTTTCTTGCTAGCAAGTTTGCTAATTATTCTTTTTGGATACGGCTTTATCTCCAATCCAACCATTAAGCCATTATAATCTGGGAGCAGTGTTTTCTTAATGCACAGCTGGATAGTTTTTTCAGCTTCCCTTCCAGTATCTTCCTTTGGGTTGGAAGTAAGGTTGCAAAAAAAAAAAAAATCTTTTCAATCTAGTGAAATTTCATTACATGAGATGACGGTGGGGTTACCTGCTCCTAGAAAGCTGACAAGGTGTATCTATTTCTGTAGGGCTGGGAAAGGAGGGCCATTGCCCTTGGATGGGATGACTGTACAGTATTGTCTTGAAAGGAAAATGCTTTTAAAACTATGCATTTAAACCTTTTCTTTTGCCACTGCGGATTTTGGTCCTGTCAAGTTAAAGTTAACTTTTCAAACAGAGAGTATTTGAAATGATTAGGGAATGTAGATTTTTTTCCAGACATAAACCTAAGATGAAGTCTTTCAGAAAACTTCCTGCATATGTAGTGTCTTGAAATTAAATTAGCAATTTGTTCAAAAAGCAACTCTTAACATTCTTTGAAAACTGTTGTAATAAATATTAAGATACCGCTAAGATAAAGCATAGAATAGACTGATTTGTTTTACCTTAAGCTAAGCCAGTCAGACTTCCAAAAAGATTCCTTATTTGTATACAAGGAGGGTAGTTTATTTCTAAGTCAGAACTTCCAAGAGTTTGTATATGTGGGGAATATGTTAATGTTAGGTCTGAGATTCAAGGAATATAGAATCAGTTCACATAGCAATTTTCAAAGCAAACTTTTGGCTCTTTAAATTTTAAAATGCTTGTGCATTTCTGAATAAGGATTTACTAAACAAAGCCATTTGAAAAGAGTTTGGTTTCATTTTAATTAGAGTAAATTAGTATATATGACAGTTCAGGCAACTGTCAAATGTGGGTACTGCTTTCAGTGTGTTTGATCTTTTCCTAGTTTGATCTTTTCCTAAAAGATTAAAGCACTTTCTAATCGAAATAACCAAACGGTGGATGCCTTTTGATTGTTTGCTACAAATGCTGAGTGATTGCTGCTGCCAATAAACCTCAAGTGTTTATGAATGTGCAGTTGTTGGTGGGGAGAAATGACAACTTTTGTCTTGAAAGTGAAGCTAGCACAATGATGGATTAGTGTTTCATTGAAATTTATGAATTTCAAGTAACTTGATGCTTTAGCCCATTCAAATGACATGAAATCTGATTTACAAATTTATTAAATCAAATTATTGAATACAAGTACAGTTATTTTGTAGGAATAAGCTGTCATGTTTCCTCTTCAGTTTTATATTTGTCCTTAGAAGAAACAATTGAATACGATTACCTTAGATCAAGTATTTTATAACCTTTTCAGGAGCTGTTAACATTTGAGAAATAATTATGTGTATTTTAAAAAATTATATGCATCACAGCCAATGTATTACAAAGCAAATGTAATATGTTCAATTCATTCCCAATGTACTAAAACACAAGCCATACCTTTAACATAGTAAATTAATCATTTAGGTAAGTTTATCAGAATATTGCAAGGGCAATTTGTCACATGGATTCTGATACCCACTCACAGGAGTAAAAGCCTTATTCAAGTGTTTTGATTATCCCACTCAAATATAGTAAAGTTTAGATTTATGATGGGCCCCTATGGTTTTAAACTATATATATCTCATAGTCTTCAGTGGATATATTTGGGATTCAAGTTTCAGTATGACCCCTATATTTACTGTCATGTTATTCATTCTCACCCAACTTGTCCCTGTCTATTTCTTCCTGTTTTCCATCAATTATGTTTGACATAGAGAAAAATGACACTACATCTATAGTTCATTCAAAATTTCCAAAACTTGAATGTTAGTATCTACCAGAGCAATTTTCATATAAATGCATCAAAATATTCTTTATTTACAACCTGTGTTTTATTTAACTATAAAGAATAGGATTGATTTCCTGCCCCATTAATGTATTATCATAACATCTGGCATTTCTTACTGCTGAAATTGCAGTTGCATGCTTTTATTTATCTAGGATGGTTTTCATTAACTTTCCTTCCTCCTTTTAGGTTTGAAAGTGGAATAGAATGAGGAACGCTACATAATAGTTGTCTTGCATCAATATTTGCACTTAATTTCTTCATCCAAAGAAGTTTCCCAGACTGAATCATTTGGATATTGAACTGGAAAGAATATCTTTGAAATACTGTAGATAATTAAACAACCGGAGAGACGTTTGTTTAGCATCCTTTTTAAAAAGACATTGCCATCTATTAAATGAAGATACTGTTCTGTGGGATGAGGTAGTAGGTTGTATAGTTTTAGGGTCATACCCACCACTGGGAGATAACTATACAGTCTACTGTCTTTCCTAAGGAAGCAGGTAATCATCAGCAACATTAGTCTGATTTTATTCTGAAACTGCTTGCAGTGGCAGATATTGAACATTATTTCAAGGAAGCAAGAAAGTGAGCAACAGAAAACTTGCATTAGGTGCTATATAATACTTAAAGTTGGCCATGGTATGGGAGACTTGAGAGGGAAATAACTTAGGGAAAGGTAATTCAAAAAAGTAAATATTTTGTGTTCAAGTTACTTTTGACCAGTTTGGGAAGTATTTTTCTATGCCTAATACCTGTTTTCCATAATTCAAAAGGCCTTCAAAGGGTGGGGGCATTTGAACCCAAAAGTTTCCTGCTACATTTTTAGAACCAAATTCAAAGGAATATTATCTGAACAAATTTACTTTCTAAATATGTTTCTCTTATCAGGTTGAGGTAGTAGATTGTATAGTTGTAGGGTAGTTATTTTGCCCTCTTCAGGAGATAACTATACAATCTATTGCCTTCCCTGAGGAGTAAAAATTCTACAGTATTCTTGATTTGCAGTTTGGTTTAAAATAAATTACAAGTGTCTTTGTTTTTACTGGCAAACTATAAGAGGGTGTAAGAATCATTTTACTATGTTTATGCATTAGTTCGTGGTCTTACTGAATGTCTATTTCATAAATACATTCTAGTGAAGCTAAACTATACTTGTAAGAAAGTAACCATTGTTTTATTTCAAATGGACTGGGGCTATACCTATGAATCATTTGATGGCAAAATATTTAACACTTAAGGATGTTTCCTGTTTACCACTAATGAACAATGGTAATGAAGCTGCATGCATGTTATACTGCATAATCTTTAAAGATGTGCACAACTTTTCACAATGACTTTTTAAAGAAGAATTACAGAAGATATGGTGGGGTTCCTAGGAAGAGGTAGTAGGTTGCATAGTTTTAGGGCAGTGGTTTTGCCTATACGGAGTTAACTATACAACCTGCTGCCTTTCTTAGGGCTTTAATATCACAACAGGATCATGGTTGGTCGAATTTCATGTTCCTAATCTAAGTTTGCAAGATTTACCATTACATTTTTATCCCTTGAATCAAATAAACCAAATAATGCAGAGGTTCCTTAAACTACCTTGATGAAACATTCTTTTCCCTTTGCTAGACTATAGGAAACCGCCCCCGCCCCCTCCAATGTACCTGCATACTGGGGAAAAGTGTGGTTGTGATTTCAAACTCATTTTAAGTCTAGTCTTGTATGTATGTATGTATTTTCATAATAAAATAGAAATTCAGTCCAAAAAGATATTTTGAAAGAGCCTATTTATTATATTGTTCAGTCCTAATGTTTTCCGGTTTTATCATCTAAATATATCTCTATATTTCAATAAAGTCGGTGTATATTTTAGAATAGATTAATTGTTGGTATGCCTAAGCAACTATGTTCTATGTAAAAGAAATTAGGATTTGGTCTACATATCAGCAGAGTAACATTCCTAAAACTGTACAGAACAGCACTGTAATAGTGTTGGAGAAGAACCAGATGCTCCCACCCTGGGAGAGAAAAAGAATTCCAAATTTTGTTTTTCCTAATTTATTCATCTGGGAAAGACAATTGGACAGGATCTTGAAATGTTGTCAGTGGCTCCATTCTAACCCTCCCTCCCCTTCCCAGTGCAGAATATAAATATACAAACAGAACACAAGACAATAGAAACTGGAAACATAAGCACCAGAGGTGGTATTCAGCAGGTTCTGACCAGTTCTGGAGAACTAGTAGCGGAAATTTTGAGTAGTTCGGAGAACCAGCAAATACCACCTCTGACTGGAGATTTTACAGTATCCTTCCCCTACCACACCCACAGAACCGGTAGTAAAAATGTTTGAATCCCACCACTGATAAGCACCCCTTTTCAAGCTCACATAGCTGGTAAACTCAACAAGAACCAAGCAAATTTCAGAAAGCGATTGAAAATATCATTAGGACATTAATATTTGGGATAAAAGCATAATCTTAAACTATAAAAGTAAGTTCCCAGTTTAAATAAAAAAAACTAAAAGTAATATCCACAATAAGCCACTTAAGATAGAATCTTGGACATTTTTTTCTTCTCACGACCCCCACTCCTTCCGTTTCTTGTCTGGCTTGCCTCTTGTACCTACTAAATTATTGTCCATAGTTTCTCATATCCCAGACTAGATTGTCACATGAGAGAAGCAATATGTCTGCACAATAGGCACAGCATGTTATTTTGTTACATGAAAAAGAATACAGATGCCTCCTAAGGTCACTGGTGATAAAGAATTGGAAAGAATCCCAAAAGTTGTTCTCTGGGTGGTCCTGTTCAATATATGCAATTAGTAAATTATAATTTCTTAAAGAGCACTACAAAGTATATCTAGTTCATAACCTTTGGTGATACCTATGAAATTATTTTTGAAATACACATTGTTCATGCAGCGAACAAGTTACCTGCTTATTTATAATGACCACATTTAGTCTATGAAGTTTTCCCGCACAATGCACAAAAACCTGGACAATATAACTTATACTGTACATTCAGAATTAATTTTTAGAAAGCCTTTATAGAAAAAGCAAAACAAGCATATATAAACATAGAATGTAAAATTATATGTATATACGTGCACATATAAGGTATACGGTACATTTAATAAAGCTAAACAGCTCTTGTGGGGTTTTTTCAAGCCAAGTGGAATTTAGTCAAACTGGTTATTGAAAAGGTAAGATCACTTCAGTCAATTAGTTGTGGTTTCAATCATGCTTCCATTATCAATTGATTTGGACAACTTAGTGGATAAGGTTTAGAGTGAAACTGAAGTGCATAGAACTCTTACAGATGAAAGGAATATGCTCTTAAACTGTCTTTGCCATCAATTCCAGCCACTATTCCAACAATGCTGACATCATCACATGCCACAGATCTGAAGCCACTATGTGAATGAAATGTTTGTGTTAGTACTTGGTTAAATAAGTCACATTGAAACAATTCAATCTGTAAAGTACAATAAATCAAGCTATGGATCCAGGTTTTACATGAATGGAATATTTCATTGCAAGCCAATGTATACTCCAAAGCCTACATCACTTGGGTCACTGCATGGTACACTGCAGTTGATTCTGTAATTTGCAGTTGAAAAGTTTATCTTTGAGTAATATATTTCAGTGTGATCTCCAGATACAAATTATTGTGATTATGAAAAATAAATTCGGTTAATTTAAAAATATACAGAGATTACTTGTCTTATCAAGGCTATTCTTAACTTGTTAGTGCTTGGATGAATTGGTGAGTAGGTATCACCATAAAGAAAAGAAAAGCAGTTCTCCCATGCTCCATTTGATATATACAATAAGAAATTAAACATTTTAAATCTGCCTTTCAAAGAGAACACTATGGTTAATTATCAACAAATCAGGTTAAAATATTGTCTAAATAATCAGCCTAAATGGGTCAGGTTAAAAGTCTTTTCAAACTGTTTTTCAATGGCCGCATGCCTTCTCAGCCCTGAGCTCCGATTTTGAAGTCTGTCTGGGAGCTAGGGCTTTGGCTCTGATTTTTGCAGCAGCCCCTCTTGGTAGAAGGGCCTCTCTGTCTTTTTTTCTTTCTCAAAGGGGCTTGTGTATCTTGGGGTTCTTCCAATTCTTTGGGGCCAGGTTGGGGTGCTTCCCTTTCCATACTGGCAACAGAGCAGACACCAAGGGTGCTGTGAGCTTCCCCCACTGAGGTTGCTCTGGGCCAGGCAAGTTCTGAGACTTAAAACAAGATGGCCGTCTGCCATGTGTAGTGGCTCTGGGATGGCTTCGCTACCTCCTTTGCTCAATAGGCTCTTACCAGGCCCCGAGCGATCAAATCATAGCGAAACAGCTGAGAAGTGGTAGAATGAAGCTCCAGAGCCAGCTGTGAAGTGGCTCGGGCAGCAGCGGCAGCAGCGAGCCCCGTGATCGATGGGGCTGTGTGGAAGGCTTCAATGAAGGCTCCCTGGGTCTGTAGCCCTTTGTGAGGCAGGGCCAAAGCCTCGATGCTGCAGGAGAACGGATCCCCACTCTCCTGTAGACAGCTCTACCGGAGCCCCAGGAGCTGGATTTTTCAATTATTTGCTGTCTCCTGATTTCAAACTCTATTTTAGCTATTTAAAAGCAATCCTTCCAGAGACTAGCTCTCAGACAAAAAGCTGAGCCAAAAGATGGGCGGGCCAGCCAGGGACTGGCTTTTTATAGTGGCAGATTCAGCTCTATGACATCAGAAGTAAGAGCTTAACCCATTCCTGGACTCATCTTGCAGGGTAGATAGGGTGTTCTCAGGTAATTATACCTATGCCCGTTTTAAATCTGCCTTTCAAAGAGAACACCATGGTTAATTATCAACAAATCAGGTTAAAATATTCTCTAAATAATCAGTCTAAAAGGGTCAGGTTAAGTTTGAAAGCTGAATAGGAAAAGAACTTTCAACCTGCATGCAACAACTTGGGGAGGGATGGAGGAATTTCTCTCTGCAGAGAGCCTGCATGAATACACAAAAGACTTCTCTGCTACATCTTTAATAGACAAGTTCAGGCAGGAAACTCAACTAGTTATCTGGGAGTCCTGAACAAGATAAATTGCCAGTGGGTGCTCAATACTATAATCACATTTGAAAAATAATAAATGAAATGTTAACACTGTCACTAGGCTGTTAAAATGCCAATAAACCATTTTTTTTAAAAAAAAAGAGACTTACCTTGACCATCTGTGAGATCCTCCCAATAAATTATAGCAACTTGTCAACAAAGAGGATTTGCTATTTTTCCAGAAGTATACACGAAGTGAAAGGTCCATGGAAGATGTCACGACATGAAAAGGATCCTGGAGTAGGATGGAATGGTGAAAACAAGTTGTATAGTAAATATACCTAATACCTGTGCAGAGCAGAAAGTAACTAATCAGAGGTTGGTTTTGTTTTGTTTTTTGCAAAATAATAGACTAATGTCTGTAAATAAGGAAGAGTCACTATACCACCCAAATAGATGTAATAATTTTATGATGATCCTTGAAAGCCATCAATACAGTCCCGCTCAGAGAGTATACTGTCAGTTCTGGTCCAGCTGCTATAAGAAGGGTTTGTTTGCCAAATCCTTTCATACTTGTCACCGGCTGTTGGGCTGGTAGTGTGAAGCTTGCAATCTGTTTAGCTTTTGTATAAAAAGAACATAACACTCATTCTTGTGTCATATAAACGATTGAAATTTGTATTCTATTTTACCCAATAGTTGTTTGTCAATATTGATTAGGAATTCTGAGAATTGCAATCCTGATACTGCGAAAGGTTATCAAAGATGGGAAGACAGTTTCATGTGATAATATTTTATTACTAATTTTATTTATATCCTGCCTTTATTATTTTTATAAATAACTCAAGGGGGTGAATGTATCCAACAGTACTCTTTTCCCCACAACAAAAAATGTGTGAAGTGAATTGACAGACTAGAACACGGCCCTATCTAATAAAATGAAATTCAATGTAGAGAAAAGTAAAGTCCTACGCTTAGGCAATAAAAACCAAATGTACCCATATAGACTGGGTGAAACCAGGCTCAATAGCAGCAACCATGAGAGGGATCTTGGAGTCTTAGTGGACAACCAGCTAAATATGAGCCAGCAGTGTGCAGCAGCAGCCAAAAAAGCTAATGCAATCCTAAGTTGCATTAACAGAGGGATACAATCAAGACCAAGTGAGGTACTAATACCACTCTATAAAGTCTTAGTAAGACCACACCTAGAGTACTACATCCAGTTTTGGTCACCACATTATAAAAAGATGTTGAGACTCTAGAAAAAGTACAGAGAAGAGCAACCAGGATGATTAGGGGACTAGAGGCTAAAACATATGATAAATGGTTGCAGGAACTGGGCTTGGCTAGTCTGGTGAAGAGAAGGACCAGGGGAGACATGATAGCAGTCTTCCAATATTTAAGGGGCTGCCACAGAGAGGAATGGGTCAAGCTATTTGCTAAAGCTCCTGTATGCCAGACAAGGAATAACGGATGGAAACTGAACAAGGAGAGATTTAACCTGGAAATGAGAAACTTTCTGACAGAACAATCAACCAATGGAACAGCTTGCCCTCCGAAGTTGTGGGAGCGCCATCACTTGAGACCTTCAAGAAGAGATTGGACTACCATTTGTCAGAAAAGGTGTAGGGTCTCCCACTTGGGCAGGGGGTTGGACTAGATGACCTATAAGGTCCTTTCTAACTCTGATTATCTGTTAAGGATCTGTTAAGGCTGAGAGGGCTAGGCCCAAAGTCATCCAGTCTTCTGGCATAGCATGAGCAATGGGACTTCCCCATTCCTCCAGAGACATCTTGATGGCTACCACCTACCAGAGCCTCTACACTTGGGGCATAGGGCTGCATGGACACTACATATTACCAGCTAGGTCTGTAGCATAGGCATTTAGAGTCTAGACAACCATTAGTGTGCAAATCTAAGCTTATCTTAACTGAAAGCAATAAAATTAGAAAGAAATAAAAGAATAAGAACAGGCTTAACCAAGGACAGGAGAGCCTAGTAAAGAATAAATTTTATTTATTAAATTCGTTTGCTGCCCAACTCACTGCAAGGTAACTGGGCATCTTACAACAAATTGCAAGTCATCAGAATCTGTATATTACCAATCATCTAGATAATTCAACCAACAAATTATCTGCCATAGTTCTTTTACCCTTTTCTCCATTACAACTATCATATGCTCTAGATTATCAACTATTGATTTAGAATATGTATATTACCAATAATCTAGGCAATTCAACCAAAATCAGTTATAGTTCTTGTACATTTCTAGATTACCAACTATTTTTTGTACACATTCTAGAAGACTTTGTGGTAGCAAAGCACGGTATGAGTATTTTAAATAACAAAGAATGAACACTGTAAAGGAATTAAAGTCTCTAGATTTTCTACAGAATATCAAATAGCGTAAATTATTTTAGGAGATTTTGCAATCTAAGAAAGCATTATTCCTCTAAAAGCTGTCAAAAAGGATTTCCCCCCCAAAGTGTATTAGAAATAGCACCTGAATATTTGGCATAAATGATTTAAGAGAATGATTGCCATTTCATAATATCAAATAGAAGTTAAAGATAATAATGTAAAATTATTGATTGAGCAATTATTGAGGTCAAAGCAAATATGTATAGAAAAGCTTTGGACATATTGTCAAAAATAGTAAAAAGCTATTTGGATATATTTAGTCTTAATAATGTTACTGCCTGACAATAAATTATATATATATTTTTTCCATTATGGTCCAGCACATTTTAAATATCCAATGGCATATCTAATATTACACAACAATTTGATGAAGCCTACCTGTAATCTTCTTTTTGTATTTAGACTTCTCAATTACTATATCAAAGCTATCAATGTGAAACATCTCATTTTTGTACAAAATGGCAATTCTTGCTGATTCAGCTGGTAACCAGCACATCACCCGACAATAATTTGTAATAGGCAAAGGACTAGATAGCATCAAATCATCATCTTCTGGCTGAGTTGCATAATATATGTTAAATACCTGATAAGCAAAATAAGTTGGGATTCAAAAATTTAATTTATACATTTTAGAAGTATCAGTGCTACTTTTGAACTTGTATGAAAAATGTATGTCAATATATTAAACTTTCTATCCCAACTAAAGACCTTGATTTATCTTAGTAATACTGTCTATGCATGAGATAAAAACTGGTGTATCCATTCAGCTCTAGCCAGCATGGTCAATGGGAATTATAGTTCAAATGCTTGAGAAAGCACCTGGTTATCAGTGTCTGGTTGATATTGCTTGGCAGCAACTTTCCAAGAAATCCTTTTTAAACCTCTCTAAAATGCTGGAGTTGAGCCTTTGATCTGCAGGTAATCCATGGCTTCTAATACCTGACCTCTCTTATTTGAATTGCAAAGCTCCATTCTGCATCATACATGACTTTTGAAACTTGTTCCCATTTGAAAAATGCAAATCTTACTAATAAACATAGAAGTACAGTTCTTTGAATCTAGGCTACTATCTACAGGTGAAACCTTGACATTCAAGATCTGCTGTAGGCAGATTATACAAATACATTAGAAAAGTCAGAACATAGTAATTCTCCTTAGTTTTCTTTAGCAACTTGTTAAAGGCAAAGAATAAAAACCTATTTTATTTACTCATATAATGAGTCAGAATCAAAACTCTCAGGATGACGTACAGTGTGGCACAAGACGGTAAAACCATAATTTTGCCACTGTAACCGTCTTCAGTCCGTATTAGCTGAGATTAATTTTGTGACTGAATTTCACAAATGTTTTCCCAGAAAGAACAGCTGGGTAGAAGCAGTAGCAATCCAATTCAGAATGTTGATAATGTGAAGGAAACCTAGAATTTAAATATTATGGCCATTCTAAAATTCATCAAGACTGCTTCATGTCTGAAAGACCATAGAATCAAAGAACATAACAGTTACAAATGATTTTGTTAAGTCACCAACCCCAAACCAATGCAGAAATCCATTAGATATAAAAATCATTTTTTGTATACATTCCTTAGAAGGAAAGTCTCAGTCCCTCCCTTCCTCACCTTGAGCTTAATCTCTTAAGACATTTTCCTTTCTGACCACTTGCATTCTATTTCCTTGCAATTCTTAACTCTTGCTTCTGGCTTAGGCTTCTGAAACAATTATGAATGATTTTTGTCCTGTTTTGCTGCAGTGGCGCTAGATCTCAACAGACACATTTAATAATAATAGAAACCATACCTTTGGTGAAAAAGCAGCATCTCCAGGACAAACAAGTATCCATTGCCCATTTGGTGAACACAAAGACAACTGTATACCACAGTTCTGAAACAATTTTTTGTATAAAACTTGGCTTAGATCAGTTGCTGACAAGCTATGAAGTGAGCCTTCTTCAGTGCCCACCTAAACCAAAGAAGGGGAAAAAGCATGTAAAATACAGTGCCTTGAACTTTAGAGATGCTAATTATTTCATAAAAATTCAAAATAACAGAATGGGGATAGGTAAAAGCTGCTCTACTACAGCCAATTTCTGGCGAGTCAGTATCTACAACAATTGCTAAGCTAATTGGACCATAATCTAATTCTATCAACTCTAAAGCCTTGAATACCAACCCCTGAACTACAAATAATATATTTCTCATAGCTGAACAACAGGGTAACATTTGAGCTTCTTTGCTAAAGTTTTTTTTTCTACAAGAAGAAGAATCCGGCATCTTCAAAACTTCCTGCATTAAGAAAGACACAATCCTATTCCTCCAAGCAACTGTGAAGAACAGAGGACGATCGCTTTTGCCATTTAGGGAGAGGGGGAAATCCCAGGTTTTAAGAAGGGAGATGTGGGAGTTCCAAACAATGGGAAACTTCCCATGCTTCATGTCTAGAGGAAATGCTGCTAAACTGCGAAGTAAGAAAAAGGCTCAACTTCCCAAACTCCATGGATGTCCCAAGACATTATGGGCAAAGGGATGGTACTGATTTCAGGCTGCCACAGCTGCCACAGCTAAAGAGGCTACTTTAAAATGTCCTATTTTATAAGTATTTGGCAATCTGAAGAAAGTTTCCTTGAGAATGGCGATCAACTCACGTAGTGTGCTACTTACCATTAAGAATGGGTTATTCTTTATTGTGTAGGCTACCATACAGGATGGTATAGATGACACTGAAAAAGTTGAAAGCTCTTCCCCTGTAGTCCCTTGCCAGAGTTTGATTGTCCCCTCAGTGTCTGCTGTAGCTGCCAGGTTAAATGCAGGAAATGTGATAATACCTACTAGTGGAAATCCCTGTTGGGGACTAGACCAAATCTGTTTACCCTGATAAAAGCAAAGAAAAAAAGATCATTCTATTTGATAAGTATTTTTTTTTAAAAAAACCCATCTTCCTGTTAGTGCAATTATTATTGCAAATGTATGTACCATGCATTCTTTTCAATCTAAAATACTTTTCCATTAAAAAATATCTAATTTCTGTTCCGATACACTTGTTTGGTGAAAAACTGTATTTTTATTGGTGTTAACAAAATAAAATAAAAATCTCAACCCCAAATCATGTTGCTTTTATCTTGTTGAAACTTGTTCACTTAATCTATTTCTTTATTAGATCATAATAATGAGTCAGACTTTCCCATTGCATTTCAAAGTCCCAAACTGTGCCCAAAAATTCCTAAAAGAATTTATAAAATAACAACTTTTCTTGGATCACAGTTGTGATGTCTATGCCCCCCAAAACCATTAAATCAGAGAAAAATGGCATTGTTGTGAAAACAGTCTTGGGGGAAAAGCGTCTCAATATCCAGATTTGTAATACTTTATTTCCTTTCATATGATTTTTGTTGTTATTTGTATCAGGTATGTCTTCATCAGCTATTTTTCATGTACTGCATTCTTGAAAAAACAGCAGATTGTTTATATAGCTCGCATTACATCTTCAAAATAACACTCCACTTTGAGAACTTGGAATGTTATTTAATGCTGTTTCCTGAAGATGTTGAATAGAGTGGGTCAACCTTTTCCTTCTTACATCTTAATGCTATTACGAAAGAACTTCATACAGCTTATCCTTCCCCCTGGAACTCTGGGAGTCCTTTCTACCTCTTCATCTGGATCAAACGATGTCCTTGAGAGTAAACTTTCAATTTAGGGAAAAAAATGGAAGTCACCTGATGCCAGGTCTGGACTGTATGATGTAAGACAGTGAGGTCTAACTTTGCAATTGCCTTTTGGGTGGCTGATGAGGTGTCAGGTTTTATACTGCCACCTTCCAGCAAAATTTATTTCATGCTTCTGGACTTTGCTTAAGTCTTTCAAAGTTTTGAATGTTACAGCATAGCACTGAATTGATAGTGGTGCCAGGTTCCAGGAAGGCCATGTGAATAACACTATTCAAGTTCTCAAAAATTGTAACTATGACTTTTCCTGCCAAAGCCAGGTTGTCGTTTTTTTTTTAAGCAAATGAAATTTAGTGATATTCCCTGGACGAGTGTGTCATTTCGAGGACACAATGATGATCCTGAGTGTCATCAATGGTCACAGTGCTCAAAAGAAAGTTATCTTTATTCTCATAGCATGACATTATTGCTGGCAAAGTCCATCAGCATACAAAGGATGCATCTTGCACAAACCTTGCAATGTGAAAGAGCAGCAACAATATGACCTATGAAAAGCTTGACATACATTTCCCTTTGATCTGATTGTTCATCAACCACTGCTATCAGCCTTTCTCACCTGAAACTCATCACTTGTCACAGATCATTTGCCATGTTCTTGATAACAAAATTCAGTTCTCCTTGATTCACTATCTTTAGATTTTTGACCCAGCAATGCACAATGCTCATTTTACCACCATTTTCCCCATAAACAATTCTATATTCAGTGGCAAAATTCAATTCAGGGGGTTCCTTTGGCAACCAAACATTTAATCATGTATATTGTTTAACTTCATTGATGAGTACTCAACTCTAGAATTCTGAACAATAGTAATGCAACCGTTAATCACAGTAATTTCCTACCAACTGAAGTAAAAGATTAGATACAATACAGGTAGTTTTCGCTTTATGACCACAACTGGGATCCTAACTTACATCATTAAGTAACAGTTAAGTAAGTCATGTCTGATTTTACAATCATTTTTGCCATGGTCATTAAGCAAATCACAGTTGTTAAATAAATCTGCATACTCCATTGACTTTGCTTGTCAGAAGCTAGCTGAGAACATTTTAGATGGTGATCACATGGTTCTTTTTGTCTATAGAAGTTAAGGAACTGAACAATCTGTATGCATACTACAGATAGATCAAAAAATGTTTCCTTTTGTTCTAGAATATTCTTATAAGCTATAAAACAATTGTAAACAGCATCTCTGAGATTCTGCTCAAGAGCATTCATTTCTATAAGAACCATCTTCTGGTCTACCCAGGCCAATATTTTTTTCTTTTAGGATTTATGATTGTTGACTACGATTGATGTAACTATACCTTTTCTTTCACAGCATTGATTGTTTGCACCTCACTGTATAAAACTGAATATAGTGTCTTACATTTTCTTTTCTTCTATCCTTTCTTTTGTTTATCTTTAGAAGCTGGTTTGCTTCTAAAGCAGGCCTGGGGAAAAATGGGCTGAATTCTCTATTCACATTATTCTAGATTATGGGGCCAGGAGATGGAATTATAAAAAATATTTCTGCATTTGCTTTTTGACCTTTCAATCATCAGAAAGGAAGCACATGAGGGGTCGGGGTAGACATCAGATGAGCCACCCCTGAAAGATAGGTGGTAGCAACAGGAAATTATCGAGCCGCTATCCCAAAACAGGAAGTGGGACAAGGGTGTGATGTTGCAGGACTCTTTTGGAAAAGGAGGTTTCAGACTTCCAACTTTCAAACAAAAGGCTCAATATGAGTATCAATGTTTTTTTTTAAAGTTTTTATGTTCAGCATTTTTAAAGTCTTTATATATTTATTCAATTTGATACCAGCTGACTCCAAATGACATCAGCTCACAATACACAAAAACAATGCTGAATAAAAACAATACCACAGATATCATCAAACACAATCAGACGCAGACAAAGAAAAAGACAAAACATCCCAGCTAACATCTCAAAACATCTCAACTAACTTCCAACAAAGGGGACATCAGCTACTTTAGCCCAAGGCCTAGGAAAGAGCCTTGTGACTCTTCTCTGCAAGTCTTCGAAGTTATTTACAGTAACTCCACATGCTCCTTTTTCTTACCTCTTGGATATTCCATGCCCTGACTGTGCCATCAGAAGAGACAGTACATACAGTGGACTCTACTTTTCCTGTTGCAAACATATGCTCCTTCTCGGATAGATAAGCCATTTCATATATCACTCCTGCAGCAACACAACATATCTTTGTTTAAAAGCAAAGTATTTGGGAGCTTGATTATTAAGTTCAATTGCTCCAAAACAAAAAGTTTCTATAGTTCATTTAAACTAAACAATCAATCCCACAGTATTTTCACTTTGCATAGTACACTGTAAATTTACAGTCAACTATAAGTATCAGCAGTTGGATCAGCTCTAGAATTTTGGATTACAAATGAGTAGAAAATTTTGGATCACAAACTTAAGAGAACTTTTGTAATTTATTTGTTGGAATGGTCTGCAATGATGCAATTGCAATGGTGGAACCGCATCCTCCAATGCAATTGATTTTTCTTCCCTCACTCAACTTCCTAAATAGAAAATTGATTCTAAGTCCTGTTAGCAGTGGTGATATTCAGCTGGTTCGTACCGATCCATGTGAATGGGTAGCAGGGATTTGGCGTAGGTAGCCGAACCAACAGTAACTTCTGGCTGGCTATGCCCCGACCCGGTCACCCAGTCGCTGCTCGCTTGCTTGCCCCACCTGCATGATGCGTGCTCACCCTGCCCACCTGACGCTCGCCCACCCAGTCACTCCTTTTCCCCTCTTCCGACAATCAGCTGTTCCTATGATCAGCTGTGCCGGGATTCCCCTTGCTTACTTATTGTTTCCCCCAGGAGGCTTTCGAGGCCCAGGAAGGCAAGAAATGGAGGGGGAGCCCTAGGGAGACCCCAACATGAAGTGGAGGGTGCTGTGAGCCCCCTCATGCCCTGTTTTTTCCTTCCTGAGTCCAGGGAAGCTTTCTGGGAGCAGAAATGCCCCGCCAGGAGGTTTCGCTGCGGCCCAGAAAGCCCCAAAGTGAAATGTGGGGGGTTTGCTATACGCCCCCACGCTCCATTTTCTGCCTTCCTAAACCCCAGGGAAGCCTTCTGGGAGCAAAAACGCCCCCCAGGAGGCTTCCCTGTGGCCCAGAAGGCTCAAAAAACAGGGTGGAGGGTACTGCCAAAAAAAGAGGAAAAAAAAGCCACGCCTACCCAGTCATGTGGCCATGCTCCCTAGCCACGCCCCCTAGCCACATCCACAGAACCGGTAGTAAACAATTTTGAATCCCAGCACTGGCTGCTAGGCCATTCCAGCCAGGGTAGAGGCATTTTGGTGGATGAATTCATTAGGCTTTTTGAGCCAATAAACATTTGCATTCAGAGAGCATGACAGTAATGGAGGAGCTAAATTAGACTGAATTTGAGAAATTATATAGGTTTAGTTTGTTTCTACACTTGTATGAATGTATGAGGATGGACAGATGGATAGATAGATGGATATGGATTCAAAAATTTTAAACTGGCTTAAAATTCCCTGGAAGCCCAAAACCTAGGATTGACAAGCTACTGACTGGGAAAATATTTGATAACTGTGGTACATGTACCAGATACATTTTCTCAGACTATGACCTCTTGTTTTCTACTGCAGAAATGGAAGTTCTTATTTTTCTGAATACAAATCATATACATAACCACAGTATAATGCTAGTTGAGAATTAGAAATGATTTCAACATATTTTTTTCTTCTAAAATTTACCACATTTCTCATACCATTGTGTCCTCTTATAGCTTTACATGTATAATCAACAGAAGGCTGTCCTGATTTCATCTTAGATTCAAGATTTGAGCGATGTAGATAGTACTTTTTCCAAGAGTGCATTCCTGGGATCACAGAGATATTGCAGAAAGCCCACCTTTTCAGACACATATTTCTATAAATATAAACAATTGCACTATTACTGTGACATTTAAATAGCTTTCTCTAAATCTGCTTTAGTAAATAGCAATTCTAATTTTTTAACAACTATCTTCTGTAAATATGATTTATTAGATTAAAAAGAATGTTGGAATATTTATTTTAATGTCATTTCTGAATACTTCAAATCTCAAATTTGTAATATGAAAATTAAAGTAAATATTAAGTAAATATATTATGTAAATAAAGTAAATACTAAAGTAAATATTAAATATTAAGAGAACAAAATATCATTAACTCAATAATTACTAATTATAGAACAATCACCTACACTTCTTAACAATCAGTGGAATACACAAATATGCAAGTGTTTACAACACACACATGTAATTATTTAAACATTTATATTCTGAAGCTTTAAAATTATAAGGTTGATTCACAACAATAAAATGTAATTGCACATTTAAGGAAATAAAAATAGCAAATATAAGCTGATTCAGAAAATGAAATTGACATTTCTGATCAAATGACTATTTTTTGAACAAGATAGTCTTCATCAAATGCTGAAATACTATTAAATAGAAGACCAAGAAGGCCTTTTTCTTTTTTGCATCATCTGTACCTGTTAAACGGAAGGCTCCACAAATTGTGGTCCTGTATTTGTATTATATGAAATATAATTATGTCCTTGATACAACCAGTTCAGCTTCCCTATCTAGATATTGCCATGGAGTTCCCAGGTAGTAAAAGACCAATCAGGTCTGCTGAGTCTCAGCAGGTGGCAGCACCTGGCTAGCCTTTCTTATAAAAGGGAACTTTTAAGACTTAGTAAGCAAAAAGGTATTGTTATACTACTTCCACAGCATTTACCAAGTACATCTATTAACTGACTTTTAAGAGTGCACAGAGATTTTCTCAGGCTGGAAGCCTAGCTAGTCTAGCATTTTGTTGATATAGAAATTAACTAGGCACTTCTTATTGAGCCTGCAGATCTGGACTACAAAAATCCAGGCAAGTATAAGATGGCCTCTTGCTGGCCTGAACTTTTGCAGCTGAGATCCAGTAACCCTACTTCTAGGAAACCCACAAGCAGCATGTGGCAAAAATAACAATTCACCCTTCCACCTAACAACTATGAATAAATTGTTGGGAAGAAGTGTATCGTCATCCAGCAATCTGTATCTACTAACACCAATTCTTGGATGAAATCCAGACCCTCCCACCATTTCTTGCTGCTCTCACCTCCAGAGAAACGTGGTCTCTGCTGCCTCGTTCCATGCCTAAAATGGGAAGGAAAGGAATGGCAGGTTTCAGAAGCAGTTTAAGATTCACTGGACCAAAAGACAGAATTCACAACTTGCACCAACTATGATTTGATTTAACCATGGTAGAATAAACCATAACAACATGGCTCATACCACAATGCTTGGGTTCATGCCACACACTGAACCCCAAACATGCCTAACATACTGTGCCAACCCAGGCCCCCTGACTAGTTCATAGTTGTGTGTCCTATCAACCCAAATGAGATTGAATAAATCATGGTTTATTGTGCCATGCAACTAAAACCGTTAGCTATGGCTTAGTAAAAATTTAGGAACTCAACCAGTGCTTGAGAAACTGCAAGATAATCCTATACTGTGTTTACTCAAGGACCCAAGCCCATTTTATTCAATATACACCTAATTCCCAGAAAGATGCTACTTTAGGGAGAAACGTGTTATTTAGTTTTACCCTTAAAAGAGTCCTACAAGTGGCATCAACTCAGCTGTTAAAGCTATTCCTGGCATCAGGTCAAGCAGGGCCAAATGCTTTATTGCCTATGAAAAGCTCCGAAGCCCTCAAAATAAGAAAATATAGAGGACAAGCATGTTCCCAAAGTGACAAGTAGAGCCCTCTCACACATCATCCAATGCTGAAGAACCCAAACTGGATCCAGCATGTAAAACCAATAAAAATCGGATATCCCGTCACGGCCAGCCGAGTTCCCTAGAAAGGGCGAGACTTCCGGCTCCTTTCTCCTTTCTGCAGCGACGCGTTGGGCGGTTAAAGGCCCTTGCGGGGGATCGCGGTGTCCTCTGCCCTCTGTTAAACTAGTTGAAGATTTGTTTCGAAAACAACTATTTGGAACTCCCTTTCATTTTCCTTGGGACAATTTTAAGGCCCGTTTGGGACGTTTTCCCTCCCGCCTTGAAAAGGCAAGAGCACTCTTGTTGGCAAATACGAAAGAAAGGATCGAAGTTAGCGTGATCTATATGCTAGCACCCCGATCCGTGGATTGCAAATCTCGCGCCCAACAGCCAAGAGGGGATTTAGGCAGCTATAATAGCAGCAAGTTGGGAAAACCGCTACTGTCTTGTGCATGACTGGACCACCGCGGTGTATCAGCCAAGTACGCACGATGCTGCGTTGTCTACATTGGGAAGCGGGTGTACCTTATTCACTTGAGCTACTCTGAGCAGATCCGGCACTTCCAAGTACGAGAAGAGATGGATAATGCAATCCAAAGACAGCGACTCGGCACTCATCGTGCTTTCAGGCGTCCTCACAGCCAATCTACTGAAATATTTTTTTCTCTCCACGCCCCAGTCGAATGCAGCGCTGGATCACTTCGTCGAGGCGGGATTAAAATTTCGGATTCCCCCGTGACTTGTCTTTCAGCTGCCCGTCAAGAATCAGAGCGGCAGACTTAAAATATTGTGTGCACCGAGGTGTGGAGGACCACTGATCCGCTCAGTTGCCGTATATCAACACTTAATAGGTCTTTTCAGGAAATTGATCACTTTTACAGGAACATATTTCTAATACCAAATAAATACCAATACCGTTTATTGTAAAAATAAACCCAAAGTTATTATCCTGGAACTCGCCAAACATTTGGATTCCCACAATTTCAGACAAATTGGGAAAATGCAACAGCAATGCATCTGGAAGGTATCCAGGTTGAAAAATGCCAAAACACCATCTTTCCTAGTAATTTTTATAGAAAAACTGATGGATCTTATTTCTCTGTAGACAATATATAGTCTATCAAGTTTTTCTTAACTGAAAGTCAATCCCACAGCAAATTGGCTGAGGGTAAGAGGAAGAGACTTCAGCTGTGCTTTTGAACACAACAATGAAGCAGTTCACACAGTGGGCTAACACAGAGTTTAATTATGATTTTATTATAATTTGCTGGGATCAAGTAATATGTTAGGCATAATATACAAGTTCTGAAAATCTTTGGTCCTTCAACTCTGTTGTATAGTATCTCCCATTCTCAATCACACTACCATAGCTTTCATTTGTTTCCAGTTTAAACCAAAGGGGAAACATGGTACCTAAGCTTTATTGTATTTTGTATCGTATGTAGATGGGTGTGATCATGTCACTAGACAAGCTTTAATCAATGCCACCTTCCAAGGGAGGTGCTCCTATTTTCAAGAGAAACAATTAATACATTATACTGTGTTATTGCTATTCATCAGTCAGTCTGCATGTTCTTAATATATTTCCCAGTCACTACCAATAAAGACAACTTATTCTGCTAAGTGGAAGGGCAGCTCCGTAAAGATAGAGATAATGCTAAAGATAAAGACAGACCGTACAGAATAAATCTTACTTTTGAGGCACTCAGCTTCTCTGACGAGAACAAATCCCTGTCCTATCCAAGCTTTTTTTAAGAGTAGGCCCACGCTTAGAAATTCTTGCAAACATTCATACCCGCCCCAGGCCCTTCGCTCAGGTGGGCTATTGTGCATCTGCAACTAGGAAAGAAGCTATATCTGCCTGTTTGCTGAATGTGCTGCAATTTTTGCAATCTGCAGGAAGACGCATCCGGTTGTCCCCCAACCAGCCACTGTGTAAATATTTTGAGCGGAAGTTGGTGTTTTCCAAAGAGATCCGCTTCACCCGTCGTTCACAATCCCTAACCTCATCTGTTGAATTGCTTCGGGGGAAAAGTGGAAGCACCAACCCTAAAAAATAAAGCACGAGGGTCCTGAATACTGTATAGAAGGATCTTCAAACTTGGCAAGTTTAAGACTTGTGGACTTCAACTCCCAGAGTTCCTGAGCTAACGTGACTGGAGGAGGAATTCTGGGAGTTGAAGTCCACAAGTCTTAAAGCTGTCAAGTTTGAAAACCCCTGGTTTAGAGATTCGAAGGTATTCTGCATATTGCTTCAGATTCCCAGGTGCGTGCATTCGAAGCGCCTTCTTACATACGGAAACGGGCCACCGGTGGGAAGCGGAAGTATTTTTTTACATAGCCAGGTCGACCACCTTTCCTTAAGCTCATGGTTCCTCCCTTTTCTTCGGGCTTCCTCGTAGGCGATCCTGATTTTTTTCCGGTTCCCGTCTTTGCGATTCCTCGTGGCTTGTTGGTAAAACTTGCAGGCACTCTGGGAAATGTAGTTTGCGCTAAGAGAGGCTGCGCCCCGCTAGATTTCTGCTCCGGTCTATGTTTAGAAAGTAACGGGCGTAACCTCCAAAGGAAAACACGCCTTCATCCTTAGTAACAAAGGCGTGGGCAGAAAAGAGGCATCTGCTGAGAGGTTGTTGATTTACAATAGCTCCATTAGTAACTTTTCTTAGTGACTTAGTATGATTCTCTATTCTTTTACTGTTGGTGAGAAAGTATGGGGAGGACCATTTATTTATTTTTACAAGATGATGGGTAAAAGTAAAAACAGTTATGAATACATGGATATATATAAGGAAAAAAAAAAGAAAAACAATAGGACAGGGAGGTAGGCAGGTTGGTGCGCTTTTGCACGCCCCCTACAGACCTCTTAGGAAAGAGGTGAGGTCAATAGTAGACAGTCTAAGGTTGACGTTTTTTGTGGTTTGGGAAAGAAACCACAGAGTCAGGTAGAGTATTCCAGACATTGACCACTCTGTTGATGAAGTCGTATTTCCTGCAATCAAGTTTGATGTGATTAACCTTGAGTTTGTATCTATTGTTTGCTCTTGTGTTGTTATGGTTGAAGCTGAAGTATTCATTGACAGGTAGGACATTGCAATGTATGATTTTATATACTATACTTAGATCACAGAATCCTTTACCATTAGTTGTGTAATCCATATGTTTTGCAGTGTAAGAGTTGCAGATTACATGATATTTTTTTCCTGAAACCAAATTGTTTATTAGAGAGTAGGTTGTTTGTTTCTAAGTGGAGGATGATGGATTGGTTAATAATTGATTCCATGACTCTACAGGTGATGCAGCATAAACAGATTGGTTTGTAATTTTCAACTAGGCTGGGGTCTCCCTTTTTGAAGATGGGGATGACCGTGGCTTGTGACCACAGTTTTGGCAAGGAGCTGGTCCTAAAAGATTTTTCAAAGATTATGCTTAGAGGTTCGTCTATGGCAGTGGATAGCTTTTTTAAGAAGTAGGCACATATTCCATCCGGTCCAATAGATAGAGATGGTTTTAGACTGTGTAGTGATTTTTCAACATTGTCTTCTGTAAAATCGATATGTATTAGATCATTGTAGTTGTCTGTGGTTTGACTAGGAAATACTGGGCGTGATCCATTGCTGTTTACAAATACTGAGCCAAAGAATGTGTTAAAAGAGGTTGGCTTTAATAGTGTCATCATTGCAGTCTTTACCATTAGGTCCTTTTAGGGGTGGGATGGACCTTGAGTCTTTTAGTTGTTTATAAAATTGTAGAAAGCGTGGGTGGAATTGGTGCATTGAAGATTTTCCTCTTGTTTAATATGATAATTGGTGCATTCAGTCTTTTTCTGGTGGCATAAATTTTTGTATCTGCTTTTGAAGTTGACAATGTGACCAGATTTGTTTTTCCACTAAAGTGATTTCTTTTTGGATTGAAGCTTCCTTATTGTTATGGGTAGTTTGTTTTTTCTGGTTTTGGGAGTTGTTAATGGTACATATAGTTTGATGAATCTTTTGGCTTCAAGTAAAAATATGTTGTAGTGTAGTGTACTGTAATCTTCCATCTACAATATTGCATCAAGTGAATAGAAATTGCCACTCAAGGGATGAGAGATCGTTGTTTATAAAATCATAGTTGCCTTTTTTGAAGTTATAATTGGGGATTCCGTCATTGTGATTATTTTTGTGTGGATGTATGTTGAGACAAAAGTCAATCATGTTGTGGTCACTGTTGGAAAAGGGTTCTTTAATTTGTATTCCGTAAATTGAATTCAAACTATTGCAGAAGATGAGATCGAGGCAGTTGTGAAGTCTAGTGTTGTTGGTTACTAGTTGTTCTAGTCCCTGATTTGTTACTGCATTGTAGAAGGTTGCATGTGTGGGTTCAGTTTTACATTCGTTAAGGGTCCAGTTAATATGAGGCAGATTGAAGTCACCAAGAAAGATAAAAGCATGTGGGCAGGATGCTGGCCACCTTAGTAGTGTATTTAGCTTGTTTGCATGTTCGATGTCATAATCAGGGGTTCTGTAACATAGTAAGAACCAAAATGTGATATTTAAGGACAGTTCACAGACGATGGTCTCAGGAATAGCAAGCTCCTGGATAACATGGTTGTTTTTTAGATGTAGGGACTTTTTATAGAAGATAGCAACACCACCTCCTCTACGGATTTCACGGTCTGATTGGTAAACATGAGAATTTCTTACTATGGTAATGGAGTCAGGGAGAGATGCATTGAGCCATGTATCACAGACAAATATAATGTCGAATTTAGCCATATTTAGTAAGAGGAGAAATTCAGGTATTTTATTTATAAGGCTTTTTGCATTGAGTAGCTTGCATTTAAGGCCAGTTGTGGTTGGAATAGAGGTAGTTAGGGACATGCGTGCCTAGTTTTGAGTGACGTTGGATTGGATGGGGTGGGGTTGGATGCGGAGTTGTGGGTTTTGTGACTTTCTTCTGATGCAATCAGCTCTGTAGTCAATGTACAGGTTCTTTTCTCCATTGTCTAGATGGTTTTTGAGTTCTGCGCGGAGTTCACGGGAGCGGTTTTTTTGCAGTATGGATAAGTCTGGTCCTGAGCAAAGTTTTTTGTGGTTGGGATTGGTTTTTGCAATGGCGTTTATTGTATGAATGAATATGCATTCGCTGGGCTCGTTTTTGCATACAACTCTACATAATCTTGGGGCCACAGAGCGGTCATTGTATTTGCACCCAGGGCCATCTCTGGTTATTTCAATGAACCATGTTGGCTGTGTTTGCAGGACACTGTGAACCACGAAAATCACACGAAGAGATTTTCTCTATGATGATCTGTCCCCTAAGCTGGTATTTCAGGTCTCCTACTGATGCATTTATCACCACTGCAACTGAGTCCACCACCCTTTTTGATTATGGTGGTCCTCTTTTCTTTCCTTCCACCCTTGCCAGCACTGGAGCCTTCTCCAGAGAACCAGGGTTTTACATAAGATGTCCAAAATAGAATAATTTGAGTTTGGTCGTATGTGCTTCAGGTGAGATGTCTGGATTGATTTGCTCAGTAATGCATTGGTTTAATTTCTTGGCATGCTTGGTGTTCTCAGGAATAGTTAATGCGCAGTTCAGGGCAGCTTGTGAGATTCTGCAAAACTGATGAGTGAATAGAGCCTAGGAAGGGAATGTTTAATTTACATGAACACTGATGGGATACATTGAGCACAGAAAGTGTGTTTGGCCCTAAGTCACC